AAAAGAAATAAAGACAAGGTTTGAGTTCGATCTCAACGGCCTCAAGTACCTTTGGGGAAGGACCCTTGAGGGATATTTATAGCTTTCGAAGAGGTGTTCACATGTTCTTCATTGTGGATAACCAAGATCATATGTGTCAATCATTACGAAAATTTCTTATACAAAGATTGAGCATGTACAAACTTACTGTAGACCAAGTATAAAAGGAATGAGCTCGACTTGAGCTTAGCTGTCATGAAGATGAGCTCAAGCAAACTCTGAGTTCATCCGAGGTAGTTCACCTCAAACTTGGTTGTCATGAGGATGAGCTCAAACATCATCCGAGTTCATCCAAGATTGTTTATCTCATCCGGGGTAGTTTACCTCCGACTTGATTGTCGTGAGGATGAGCTCAAACGTAATTCGAGTTCATTCGAGGTTGTTTATCTCATCTGGGTTAGTTCACCATGGACTCAATCGTCATGAGGATGAGCTCAAATGTAATCCAAGTTCATCCAATGTTGTTTACCTCATTTGGGTAGTTCACCTTGGACTACCATCACAATTAGTTGGTTCATAATCGATGCAAACATGAAATCAGTCTAACACAACTGGTTTGCAGGCCAAAGACAGTAAACATAGCCAATTTCGAGAGGCATCTATCTTCTTCCGTGTTACAAGAACAGTTCATCATAGGCAATTTCGAAAGAGGCATCTATATATCTTCTTACTTGTTACAAATAAGAAGACAAATTCAATTGAATCATTCCAGCACAAAAGTTCCCATCAAAATACTCGACGTTGTAGATTTCCTTTGATGTGATTTATGGAGTGATTTTGTTGTTTTAAGATAAAATTTTGATGAATTTTATAGTTTTTTGAGCAGTGATAAATTGATATAGAAACAGAATATACTATAATTTTAAAATTAATTACTTAAAAATTACTTAAGATTCTATATATAATGAATTTTATAGTTAAAAATAATTTTAATTATTATTTATTATGTATATTTAATTTAAATTTGTATCACTTTTAAAAACTCAAATTTAATATATTAATAATAATTTATTATATTATTTATATACAACTCACAACCGCGCTTTAATTTGGTTGTGCTTTAATTTCGATATCTTCAATGTGAGATTTGGGATAGCGTATGTGTGAGAGAAGGACCATGCTTTATTTATCAATCATGCATATAGTAAAGTCCTTGTCAAGCTGACGATGTTAATAGAAAATAGAAACCATGTTTGGTAAAGTGTCCATATTTGGTAAAGAGAGTCAAAACCTAACCCAAGGCCTGCACTATGTTTGAACAAAGAACAGTGACATTCATTTCTGATATTTACATTGCAAATAAATTTTAATTAAAAAAAAACACACACACACACAATTTCAGATACTTCATTGACGATTATCAAGTTTTTAAGAGCAAAATCCAGTGTTTTCCTGGGCACCAGTTTTCAGGACACAAACATATTATTTTTTTATTTTTAATAGTTTAAATTTATTTTTTTATCATATATTTATTTAGAAATATATTTTATTACTTATAAAATCATAATAAATCTTAATTATCAAAAATAAAAAAATAATTTATTAATATTTTATATAAATAAAATAATATAAAATTTCTATATAAATATCTATTCCACAATTATCTAATAGATATACCACTATTCTTTCCCGTCAAAGCTCATAAATTTCTACCGCCGTTGTTTTCAGAAAGAGGCGTCCTCCTTCCTATAGTACATGGTATAGTACATTCTTTATTATAAGTTAAATTATTAGATAATAATTATTAGGTATTAAAACTTATTTTTTAAAATAATTTTTATTTATTTTTATAGTTTTGTATAATTTTGTTTCTTTTTTCAACATATTTTGTAAAGGACGGGTTTCGAAACTTGTCCGGAAAAAAATACACCGATGATTAATGTCACTAGGCCTCAAGGATTAGGTGCTTTAGTATAATTTTGTTAGTTAAACAAGAAATTATAAAAAACATAATAAAAAAAGGACTAGTAGTTAATTTGTCCACAATTTGGCATTTTGACCCACTTTGTATGTTATTTTATTACCCCTAATTAACAATTTGGCCATATTTGCATGCTTCATCTAACTTCTAAAAAGATTTTATGTTATAAAAGTTGAAGATAAATTAAATATAATTTTTTTTAAAAGCATATCTGGCATTTTTGAAAAGTTAATTTCACTTTATAAAGAGTTAATGTTACAAATCCATATCCATAACTTTCTGTAGTAGAGTTTTTGTTATCAATTTTTATATTAAAATAAAATTGTTATGATTATTTTATGTGAATTATTACAATTTAAAACTTCTGTAAAAATTCAATTTAAAAAAGGAGTTTTACAAAAGAAAATTACAATTAGGCCAAGGATTATTAGTTTAGCTGTCCTTGTAGTTTATGCAAAAAAAGTCACCCAAAATATCTACAACCTATTTAATGAACTACAATCATTTTTATATTTAGGAAAGACCTAACACAAAACTCTTTACAAAACCATCAAAATGATTAAATTAAAAGCAAAGAGACTTCAAGAGATAATGGAGATAATGCACAATGTCAAAGAAGTAAGAAAACTAGAAGATGTGATTAGGGAAGTGCCATATATACACAAATCTGAATTTCCATGCATGATTGGCTAGCTAGCTGTTTCATGGGCCACCACACCATTGAAGATTTGAAAAATACAAAAGCTAATTGACTCCCTATGCACATATATTTAGATAACACCAATTAATGAATGTTGTTTTAATGTTTTTCGTCGGTTGTTGAGAAATATGAAGAGAAAGAGAGAGAGATAGATTTGTGTTAGGTGGAGTTAGTTGTATGACTGGTCACCTTCTTCCGTTCTACCTGACCCTCCAATTCCAACCCACGTTCTGGACTAGGTTGTACACGTACGATCTTAAATTGAGATTTTACAAAAG